AGTTGAGGCAGAAGATTGCTTGAGGCCAGGAGTTGGAGACTAGCCTGGGCAACATAGCCAGACTCTGTCTCTACAAAAAATGTAAAAGCATGCACCTGTAGTCCCAGCTACTTGGGAGGCTGAGGTGGGAGGATTGCTTGAGCCTAGGAGTTCCAGGTTACAATGAACTATGATCATGCTACTGCACTCCAGCCTGGGTAACAGCGCGAGACCCCGTCTCTTAAAAAAAAATTTTAAGAAAAATGGTAATGTTTTAAATTTTTCTATCTTTAATATTTGACTTAATAGAAAGCTAGTATTCAATCTACTGCTATGTGTTGTTCAGGCTGAAGTATATGAAGAAAATCCAGCCTTATACAGATAAACAGTTGGAAAGGGAGGAGTATTTTAACAGCCTTTTCAGATTGTGGATATTCTTCTTAGCTACTACAACAAACTGGACAAGCGTTACTAATATTTACTTAAAGGTAATCTGTTAGCCAGGTGCAGTGGCCCATGCCTGTAATCACAGCACTTTGGGAGGCCAAAGCAGTAAGATCACTTAAGCCTAGGAGTACAAGACCAGCCTGGGCAATACAGCAGCACCCTCATCTCTACAAAAAAAAAAAAATTTTTTTAATTAGTCAGGTATGGTGGCCTGTAGTCCTAGCTACTCAGAAGGCTAAGGTTATACATTTTTTATTGTTTTTTGATTAAGCATTATGGTAAGTTCAACTGACAATAAGATTTTTTTGGGGGGTTTTTACTTGCTATTTATAGAATTTTGTTGGTTTCACAGGCACATTTGGGGGAAAAGGTCACATCTATGTAAGAAATCAGACCTAGAAAATTTGAAACTGGGCTTTTCATAATGTTTTCATCCTTTTGTAAGTTTTTCATCAAAGGAACCTATCTTAAAGATATTTAGTAGTCAGTTACAGGCAATGTATTTAAAGTGTTTAACACTATCTTGTGTAAAATTCTACAATGACTTATGTTAAAATCACTACTTTATGGGGTTTTTTGAGGGTAGGGGTTTTCTACTAATAAAAGAGCACAAGCTACTAAAGTCTTCAATACACAGTGATAACATTTGCAGGAATCCTTCTGAAGGGCATTCTACACATTTGACATATTATTAAAGATGCAAAAAGGTTCCAGTTACTGGTCCAGTGGGTCATACCACACTCTTGGCTGAATGAATAACTGCCTTGACTGATGCCTGCCCTGAATGACTTATACTAAACTAACCAGCTCTACCTGCCTGAGGGCAACATTTGTCTGTTCCACGCAAGAAGATTCCCCTAAAATAGGAACACTGATGGTCTACTAATGGAGCCCACAAAGTTGCTGCAAATAATCTGACTCCAACTGGCTTTCTACACTGGGTTACTATAGAACTAATAACTTACTAGGTTAGAAATTACCCTGAGAAGCCAGGAGAAGGACAAGAAATACCCGGGGCATAAATTATATTAATAGATATGAGAATAACCATACACAAAGTATAGTCATAAGATTCAAAATAGCATGCACTTCAGGATTATACAACAGTACCTAAACTGGAATAATTTTCTGTTTTTATTAATGATGTTTTAGCTAAAAATGAGACCTGCCAATATTCTGAAATATTGTTCTAAAATCTACAGAAGTTTCAGATATGTAAATAAACATAAAACTAAACCTACTTTTTAATTTATGGCTACGCTTGTTAACAGAAATCCTGACATTACAGCTACATTCACAATAATTTTTAAAAGGGACTCCTTTTCACGTTTTATTTACTATTTCAATGGCTATGATAAATAGGAAGTTTGATCCAGATCAGAACATCCCTTCTGAGGAAAAATGAGTAATTTAAAAAAAGGGAGGAGAGGTGGGTCAGTAACAGTGATTAGAAGCATTTTAACTCCCAAAAAACACACAAATGAGGTCAAAAAATAAATTCAATAAACAAATACACCATTCTGCCACGGAAATCAGTTACAGATCTACAGAATTTTCTTCAAAGGGTACTTCATAAATTGACCTTTTAATGCTCTACTCTTTTTTTGTTCCATCTAGACTTTAAACTATAAACCTGGGCCTAATTTTTTAAATGGAAAAATAAAAAAACTTACTGCTGGATTTTATTTCTATTACTGTGCCTTTTGTTTTCATCAAATAAAAATTTGCTTCATTTATTCTTAACACTATCAAATAAAAAACTAGATTTTCCATCTCACTACCTAAATCAAAGCAGTTCCTTAGGTCCACAGGCTTCCCTACAGAGTTGTCTGTATCTAAAATTACTTCAAAAACAAAGAATAAATTGTGCTGATGGACGTTACCATCCCCCATAAGACACCTTAATTTAAGTAATTAAATAACATACTATTTTTATGTTGGCAAAATAGACTACTTACCTGAACAAAGGCAACTGTAACGACAATAAGTATTGCCTAAATGAAACAAAGAAAGAGGCTTTTAAATCAGACATTAACTTGAGAAGTAACTGTTAACCATATTTTATTTTTCTAAATATCTGCAGTTCCAAGATAACAGATTTTAAACATTGTGATCAGCTGGAGAAGAAATCACAACTTTGCCTTGAGGCCCCTGGGGAAAGAAACTGACAGTTTACAGGAGCTTGCCATTCCTACGACAGCTTCTCAAACTTTTGATCTCAGGATCCCTTTATGCTCTCACAAATTGAAGACCAGCTTTCCTTTCCGTGGGTTACATCTACCATACTAAGTTTTTCAATTACTCAATTTTAGTTTCTACTTATTAATTCATCTAAAAAATTAAAAACCCATTACATGTTAACACAAATAACTTTTTTTATAAAAAATAT